CACGCGTAACAGGGGCCCGACTAGACACACGCAAGTTCTTCTTTGGTAACAGAGTAGTCGAAGCTTGGAATGCTCTCGCCGAGGATATTGCCACGTCCCCATCTGTGGACACATTCAAGAGAAAGATAGACTGCATAGCCACAACGTTCTCTGAAATTCGCACTAGGGAGACGAAATGTTATACAAAACATACTACTCACTACTTTTGAGTAATATGTTATTTTTAGAATAATTAAGAGTGACAAAAGTCGCATCCACCGAACCTTGTGGTCCTAGGCTACGCGGCTCTGTAAAGCTCTCCCCAATTCAGGCATGGAATGCTCTGCCCGCGGACATTGTCATGTCGTCATCTATGGATCCGTTTACGATTAGGTCAGACCCATCTGTGGACACGTTTAAGATTAAGTTAGACCTAATAGCTACTAAGTCCCCGAAAATAAACTGCCGGTTACCGAAAGGACTTTGCGGAATAATCACATGATATACAATATACTACTCGCTACTCTTCAGTAATATGTTTGTTTAGAAAACTACCGACTACCTCTGTTTCGTCAGTTAGTCGGCAGACTCGGTAACCAGCAAGGGTGTACGGTGGGTGCATCTCCGACACTCGGTGACGTTCACGTGACCGCCGCAATCTTCTCCTCGTGGATCCCTTGGGATTATGACAAAAACCGCGATGGGCTCCTCCTAACATGCTTCAAACTCTCTTGGCACAGGCCATCCGATTCGAATATACTCTCCCCCTCCCTCGCCCCCACCTCCACGGCAACCGTTTTTCTCCTTATATCTCTCAAATGGCATTCAAACACCCCTAGACTTTCTGAACAATGCCTAAGGGGTTTTTTCACTGTCGGCCCTCCCTTACCCAAATTCAAATTACTGGCAACGCCACTGTTCTGAAATGTTCTGCTGAACAAATGCATTAAATAACTGTTCTGTGCCAATAGGGAGTTAAAACGTATTTACCTACATTCCCCTCAATTAAACCTGACCTGACGCTAGGAAGGCCTGTTCTGGCTCATTTGCCATCATCGGCTAGCGATACCCAACTCCAGTGTTGCCGCTGAAATTGCTGCCACACTCGAGTTTTGAACTCGGGTCTCTCCGGTCAGAGGCGAATGTCCTAACCATTGAGCTATGAGCTCACAGTCTTGCCGATATTTAATAGGGGATATACAGTGGCAGATACGAGTACACCAAATGGGAGCTGTGGAGGCTCGAGTGAAAGCTCTAATGGCAACATGGGCGGACGAGTGGGTCCTCTGACAGATCGGTGTACGCATATCTGCTACTGTATACCCCCGATCTAATACTGGCAAGACTGTGAGCTCGAGGCATAATCGCCTCGGGCGCGCCCAAATCCTCCAGCTCCTAAAGTTCTGCCTCAAGACCTACTTCATCGTCAATGGCACTATCTACGAGCAGGTGAAGGGCACGCTCATGGGTTCGCCAATTTCCGGACTCAGAGCAGAGGCAATCCCGCAACGGTTAGAGTCGCTGGTTTTCCGAGGTTTTCGGAGGAGGCAGTGAAGATGATCGGGTCAGCGTCGGTCGTGTTAAATCCAGATCCACGTTGGAGGACTTTAGTTTGAACCTCGGTTAGTTGTTTTGACGAGAGGTTGTGCACTGACGTTTCCTCGATCTCCGGGTATTGTGCGGTCTGCAGTACCCCGAATTTGATCAATAAGTCTGCATCTCTGTTCGCCTGCTTCTGTCGTCCAAAGGATAGCAAGATGTTTTTTTTTAATATGACGGCGGTCGCCTCTTTGCAGCGACGATTGAAAAGCATCTTAAAATTTGAACAAGTCGAAGATCACGAGTTGCCCAACTCGTGATCTTCGCCTTGTTCAAATTTCTTCCGGGAAAACAATGTTTCATCTTAAAATTCTCACAGCTGCACGCCTATTTCTTTAGTCAGAGATGAAAATCTTCTATGAGCACTCTGACTATGTCAGAATATCGTTTGTTTCGTCCACTCCATGTTGGCAGGAGGCTTGTAGGATATAAATTTTGGTATGATATAGTTAGCAAGGCATCTGTGCAAGAAATGGAACTGTGCATAAGTCGAGGCTTGACGCAGGGCTGTTTTCTCCCAACGACGAGCCAGTTGAAGCGCTTTGCGCCCGTAGTTTGCAGCAGTAGTGCTGAAAATTCGATTTCCAGGTGGTAAATCAAAAGAAAGAGGAACGTTCATCGGGAGAAGTTTATTGTATGCCTGAGGTTTCGGGTAGTTGTTTCGTCTACTGATCTTCAGAAAATGGATACTCTGGCTCACGGTCCCTATCTTTATGCCGCTCTTTCTTTCGTGTGCTTCTTCTACCAATCATGGCTAAGTCACTGTATGTGTCTCGCGCCTCTCCTTTGGCCTCCTCGTTTTCCCTGTCTGTCACCGTGTCGCGTGTGTTGGTTACGCCCCTCGGCCCCCGTCACAACCCAACTTGTTTCAGGCATATACACGTTGGCGATGCTGGTTGACGGCCCCGGTTGTTCCATGTTGTGTCTCAACCCCTAACAAAAATGTTCTTGAAACAACATCGGGGATCGGTAAACTTATGTGGCGGTTTACTGAACAGTCGGTTGACATCCAGGCCTTGATGTGTGATCATCACCTCGGCCCACACTGTCAATCGCGTCAAAGTTGAAATCGTGCCCCATACCTGCAACATGGATTGCCACCTCTGAATTTGGGTCCAACCTTCTTACAGCCAACTTATACCCATGCATTCGTGTTTTAAGTTGTTGGTCGGTTTCCCCAACATAATTGCACGTCCTGCAGCTGCACTGAAGTCGATAGACGACGCCTGACTTCTCATGTTTAGGGATAGGGTCTTTCGGTCGCACTAATTGTTGCCGCATTGTGCAGGTAGGCTTGTGGGCAACCCCTATTCCGAGGGGCGCGAGGGATCTAGCCACAATTTCGGAGACCCCTTTCATGTACGAGATGTTCCACCACGATTTTGATGGGCAAAGTTCCCCGGTCCGCGTTTTTGGTGGCATACGAG